CTCTCCCAACTCTCCCTGCTCACTGACTCCAGGAGGCAGCAGTTTATCTAGGATCAAATCGGGTTGATTTTGAGCAGCCTTTCTGCTCAATTCAGCACTGTTGTGCTTATGTCCTTTATGGATTGAAGCCTGATAGGAGCAACAGAGCTATGGGACTGGGCTGCTTTCAGATGCACTGCATGCTTCAGAAAGAAAAGAACCTCCAGGGAATAAGGAGTCCTTCCTTCAACATGACTTACACAGGACATAGACAGCACAACAAAAGTGAACAGCAGAAACAAATCTCAGAAAATGTGAAAGTCAAGCACTTGAGTTCCCAGGGAATTCAAATAGTGGCTCAAATATATCATCAGTTATGACTTCTCAAGTGTATGCAACATGCTTCTCCAAGTACACACTGCAATATTATATATTGCTACCACAAAATGTAAAATCAATGTCAACAGATGGCATTTCCCCCTAATTAAGCAGAATAGGACTTCTGCCATACCCTTGAAAGACTCAGGTCATTGCTGATAATTTTACTGGGTTACTCACTATATCACAGTCTCCAAGATCCAACTTCTCCAAGGTTGAATTAATTTGTAGCATTGAAGCAAAGAACATCCCACCTTTCTCTCCTATTTTGTTCCCAGTCATTCTCATATGCAGAAGATTTCCATTCCCCTAAACAAAATAAAAACAGGGAAAAAAAACCCCGAACAAAAACAATGCCTTTGAAACGGCCTGAAAAATAACACTGTCCTTTCCCCTGTGAATCCTGCTGGTTGTCACACAGAGACAAAACAACCCTCCAGAAGAATTGTGTTTAAGTGATAACACTGACTAAGCAGTTGGCTCAGGCTTCCCTCAGTAGAATGAAATGTATGAGAGTCTGGAGCAAAACTCGAGTATTTGAATACTATCGTTTCTCCCAAGTTCACAAATCTCACACTCAAAAAAATAATCCTGCCTAAATAAACCTGCCAAAGTAATTCTACCTGAATTGGCATCTGAAATGCAAATTACATCAAAACTGATTTAAATCTAGTAAGTGTTTTAAGCAAGAATATAATTTGCTTTATTTTTCATGGTCTTTTAAAGCACATGACTAGTCAAAGTCAGTGAAGCCAGTCACCTTCAGTAGGATTACTTAGTAGAGTTAAACCAGTGTGTAAGTCTTTGCAGGACTGGAGACTTCACTGGCAATATAAAGTTCTGATCAGAGGTCTAGAAAAGTCAGCAACTTTCCCCTCACCCTGCACAGAATTTCAGTGGATATGAAACAGCCATTCAACTGTTAAAGCCCGAAATGCAATGCAGAGTAGGTTTGTATTTGTAATTCCTTCATAATCACTTATTACAGGAGATTGTGGTTGAGGAAGAGATTATAAACCAAGTAGTTCTGTGAGCAGCAGGACTGATGAAGCCTGATTTCATATGGCTTTGATGTCTTCTACATGTCCCCAGCACACCTCCACCTGATGCAGTACCTCATTACAGCATGTCCTTCCCTCTCCCTCCCTCAATAACACCCCATCTTCACCCCTGGACCTGCCTGCCTGCCCCGGTGGCAGCAGGAACCCATGCAGCCCAGGGGTCCTGCCACCTGCCTGCTCAGCAAACCCAGCAAATGCTGCCAGGGCTGCACAAATTGCTTTGAGGGCTGCTTGCAAGCCCAGGTCTACTGTACAACCTTAGCACTTTGGTGGCCTCTCAAATTTAACTGAAATCGGTTCAAAGACTGTGCAGGAGGAAGGAAGAGCTCACGTGAAGTCTCATTTCACACACATAACAAATAGTGCACACAAGCCTCATTTCCTTGGGAAACCGCACTAAAAATAACAAACTTGGTTTTATGATGCTGCTGCAAGGCAGACTTCTGAAAACGTCTCAGACATCTTGAATCAAGACAAATATTGACATCAAGGTACAGGCAAACATAATGCAACTCTTTTGTTTTCTTTTAAAGGAAGAAACTGATGGCGCGGTATATCCCATAGCAGAGCATTTTTCACTCAGAAAAATCCAGCTGTGATAGTTGTGATAATTAAGTGTTAATGGCAGCACAGTGCAACTTTCTCTGGTGTGAAATCTGATTTCTGAAGTCTGCCTTGGGAAAACAAGCAGTCTCTGTGATATAGCAAACCACTGAATGGACGGAAGACAGAGGGCCCTTTCAGCCAGCTCTGATGCTGGCAGGACAGCTAGTACAGTTCATCAAAAGCAAAAATATCAAACCAGATACCATTGTTCAAATCTGCCAGGCAAATACTCACATGGAGTGCTTTCGCTATCAGCTCTGCTCCACTTGTGCCAATATTATTAAACATCAGGTTAAGGTACCGCAGAGAGGAGTTTTCCTGAGGAACAAACAAATCAGAAAGCAATCAGACTTTATTCCAGAACGAACCTGCAGTTTTCAAAGAGGATATGCATCACACATGTACTTAAAACCTCTGTCCTTTACTGCATTTCAGACAGACCCTGATTTGGAGTAGTTAAAGAATGCCAAAGTGTGTCAGATGATGAGGAAAAGGCAAAAAAGCCCAACTATGCAGCATGTAAAAACGTGTCCTCAGGGTGCTTACAGAAACCACCCATGAACCCAAGTGCTCAGCATGACCAAAGGAGGCAGGTGGTCAAGCTCACATGCAGGCCTTCAGGCATTTTGCAAACTTCATGGCACCCCCTGAGCTCCAAGAACACAGGCACCGAATGGCAACTCACCATTTTCCATCTCTATTCCAGTGCTTATAATGACAAAAAGCCAGCACTGAAGTTTTCTTTGTTTAGACCTACAAAAAGGCTAACAGAGGTGGTAAGCATCTAAAACAAAGGCCCTGGTACATTTGACACTACCATTACCTCCTTTGTTGAACTGAATTGTAAGCCTAAAAGCCCTACAGTTTATTCAACTATTCTTTCTTCTGGACACCTTAACCAAATGTCCAAGGGTTTTCTACCAGAAATGAAAAATCTCCCCAGAGAATATAATCTCAGATGTTAGTAGGATGGATTTGGATGTGAAAATAAAAAATACTGGAATTTTGCCAAACAATTGCATTCTTGTCTCCAATACAGCACACATAAATATTATCATAGCCAAATAAGTTACAAGTTGCTGAAAGATAAACATCACTTTGTCACCTGGAGGAATGCTGCCATGGTCTTTGCTCCAACATCAGTCAATATATTATACCTAAGATCCAAACCTGAAAAAGATGAATGAAGAATGTGACAGACACGTATCTACAACTAATTGATCTCTAAAAGAAAAAAAAAAAAAAAAAGAAAAAGAAAAAAAGAAATAAAGCTTAACTAAGGCCAAAACCCAGACAGCTTTAAGTTTTCTTAGATTAGCACAGCAATGTTTAAACATATGTTAAAAAACTTACCTGTGACAAATGCAGCAGTGTGTAAGACAGAGACAAGAACTTGAAGATTGTCATCTGTAACTCTCTGCACAGGCACTAGATGACTATTTCCAGCTATTTTTAATGTGAACCCTCTTGTCCGTGTGCTGCAACATAAAAATGTAAGCACATGGGGAGAAGTAATGTGCAACAGAAAAATGAATTCTCTCTCCAGATAAGAAGTGTATCTAGGCTTGCCCTCGCTGATGTGTTTGTGTGCAGTTTAGCTGCTGCCGTGACCTTTGGTAATACCATGGCAGACAATGTGATTCAAGCTGACTTCAGCACTGTCCTTTTTGATATTCTGAAGACACTGCACAACTGCTTAGCACACATGCACAGAAAGCAGGAAGAAGCAAGACGAGGGGAAAACAGATAGAAATAAAGACTGTCCTGGAGGTTACCTCATTATCTCCTATTTACTTGTTCCCTTTCCTTTATTTACCCTATCCTGCCCTCAAGATCAAAACCTAACACAAACCATTTCACCATGCTGTATTTTCTCAGGTTTTCTCTCCAAAGGATAATTAACTTTGACCCCAGGAGCATCCATGAGAGGAAGCCCTATCTAGACATATAATGAGAGAGAATTTGGGTAGTTAATAACTTGGCAGGGTTCAGAGACATTTTAGGGAAGCATTACCAGCTGGAAGCTAACTGTATGCAGCTGAGGCTTTTTAAACAGGAGTGAGATAAAAAGAAGGGAGTTAGAATGACTAGACACTGAGTTTGGCTTCTTTAAGGGACACAAAGGCACCATTCTGTACATTTTTCACTTTTTTGATTTCACTGCTTGTAAAGCTGCCCAGAAGGGATATATAGCTACAAACTTCTGCCAAGATGATGTTAACATGAGTCAAACCAGAACTTAAGCAGTAAATGCTAAATATGATCTGTGTTTCAGCCTGAAACTGCATGAATTTTCTCACTGTTCAACTGGTTGTCCTGCTAGCTTAAGACTTTCAGAAGCATCTGAAACACGCTGTTCTTTATCTCCTTACATTTCATCATTTCTATCAGCTTCTTGAAGCACATGAGCAATGAAACGGTTTTCAGGTTGGCCCAAATTTTGGCAGACCTGCACATAGCACCGGTGAAGATCTGGACTAACTGACATGACCTGCAGGAAAACAAAACAAAGCGTTACTGCATCGTTATTGCAGCCTAGCAACATCGCCATGGACCCAAGCACTGTTGTGCTGGGCTCTGCACAGCAATAAAACTGGGCTTGGTCTGAAAAGGGTTGCAACTGCTGGTATGCAACACATGAATGACAGACAAGAGAAGCACGAGGAAAAAATGTGGGTTTGTGGCTGTGTTTCTGAAGCCATTCCAAGGAATCTGAGCTAGCAGAATTAGCACTCATACAGGCAGGACCTCTCTGCCCTGTGAAGCGGCGGGGCCCCGACCTCGGCAGGCCTACCTGAGCGATCAACACCTGCGCCCTCTCCCTGCGCCAGCCCACGGTGACCAGCCCGCGGGCGAGCCAGGCTGCCCCAAGGTTAACAGTGTTTGCTAAGGGAGCCCGTTTCCAAGGGAGGTGTCACAGGCCCTGCAGGAGGGAGCGGCCAAAGGCAGCCAGACACAGCCCAGGACCCTGGCGTGATGCCCCACCACCACCTTCCCCTCCCCACAGTGGAGAGCGGCTGCGTGTGTGGGGCCCAGCCCCTGCAGGGGGGAAGCTTCGTCAACTCACCCCCAGAGTATTTACTCAGCCGAATGCCCAGAGTCTCCAAGGAGCCTTTGCAAAAATTTCCGTGGTAGCATGGATTAGCAGTGACTTCAAAGGTGTCTGCTGGTCCTTCCCCCACCAAATAAATCCTTCTAGTGACTTCACTACTGCCCTTGCACACAGGAGAGAAGGGGCTAGGATTGCACACTCTCCTGTCCCACAGCGTGTGGGGCTCACACCCAAGTACGGAACTTGGAGCCAATAAAAAAGAAAATACCCTTGTGCAACATCCAAATTGGACTGGGAAGTCCAGCATGGGTCTCCCCCCACGGTGGTTGCTCAGTTCTTCCTCCTCATCTTGGCGGCACCTGGAAACCACTCACCTCTGAAAACATGATGTCCTCCTAGAATGGTTACAGCAGCAGAGAAAAGGATATTGAGCAGGAGATCACTGTCAGCTGCCTCTTGACCTCCATTTTCTCTCTTATCATTCCTTAAATGCCAGCTGACAGGTTTCTTCCATCCAGACATCAGGTCTCTCCCTTCCCACCTCTTGCTCTTTTGCTATTGGCAACAGTACAACTTTGAGGATTGTCAATATCAGATTCACTGGCATCTCTCTGGGTCAGAAACCACTGTCAGAGAAGAAGGTGCCACCTTTCTCCAGTAGGACTCTTCCAGTTTTACAATCAGCATAGCTGAAGAAATATGTCAGCATTTGTAAATACAGGCCTTCAAGACTCAAGGAGATTGCTTCATTCAGCTCCCCTGACTTCACAAGTTCACCCTCTGAATTTGGCTGTTGGGACACTACAGAATGCCCTTGTAAGAAACACCACTGTGTTGCTTTTACAGCCTTTTAAGTATAGCTCATATGATAATAAAAGACAAAGAGGAAGTTGGCAGATAGACGGTAAGTTTCAGCTGAAACTCGTTGTAGTCAGAGTGATAAAATGGCTAGAACGAGGCTTGATACTTGAAACCAAGCTCATCAAGGGTGGGGGGATGAGTTAGGTGACTACACCATAAAAGCCAATGTGTAAATAAGGGGAAGGGATGCTTAAAGTGGAGTAGTGGGAGATGTAAACAGGGGCAGGACTTCATGTGAGTAACTTAGGGGCTTCAGATAGGCTGTAAACCTTGGAGGACCCAGCCAGTAGGGAAACAAAGGAGGGACTTTGCACTTGGAGTAGCGAATAAAAAGGAAGCGACTTGTAACCAGGGTGTGCTCTACTCACTGGGGTGCTTGTTTTTGCAGAAATGTATAATAAATTTCTGCTCTGCTGTTAAGTCTGACCTGAGTCTTTCAGGACATTTCTTGTAATTTCTCACACACTGGGATTCAAAGATATGGCCCTGCTGTATGTACAGCAGGATTTGATCAATACACACAAGCAGCTTTTTGCAGGGGTACAACTGAGACTAGAACCAGTCCCTAAATGCTGAATTCTGACAGTACTTATTTAACACAGAAGGTTTATGAGTACTGCTGATTTTTATTTTTCTAATCTTCTGAAATTAGAAATACGGAGCAGAGATGGCTGAGTCTCAGCAGAGTCAAGAGGCCAGTGCAAGGGACACTCATTGCCCCAAAGCTGATTCTGTTGGTTTTGAGGATGATGCACAAGAAATGAAGTGCCAGAGAATGAAGCTCTTTGTTCCACATGCATCATCACACAGAGGATATTTTTCAGAATGATTATGCAACAACGAGCTGTGAACAATCTTGCCAGGGGTCTTGAGTCTAGAATATCTGGAAGAGCTGCACATGGGGAAGAACCCGATTGTAATCATTCCCAGAGACATAAATTGCCTGAGGCATATGAAGGTCCACTACTTGGATCAGAATCACATACAAGACATATGCAAAGAACTGGAGAAGATGAAATCTCCTCTGAGCTTAGATTTAAGTAACAATCTTGTAGCTTGCTGCAAGTTGCAGTCCCTTTGTCAGCTCAGGCTCTATAGAACAAACTTACATGAAATTCCAGTGCAGGTCTGTGGATACCTCTATCACATTGAACTGCTTGGCCTTTCTAACAATCATCTCAAATGTCTGCCTAAAGAAACAGTAAACCTGAAAAAAGAAAAATCAAGGAAATTTGCCTCCAGAAAAATAGATTTTAAAGTTTTCTCAAGGAGCTTTGTCATATTGCTAATTCAGAAATTATAACTCTAATGTACAAAATCTAATCAGTGTCATCCCAGAAGAGGGAGGCTTTATGACAAACCTAGTTAAAATACTTTTAGCTTTTAATAACTTATCCTCTGTTCCTCCTACACTGCAACACTGCCAGAAGCTTGCTGTGCTGGATCTGTCTCATAACCTCCTGCACAAGCTTCCCCCAGGCTTGAAGAATCTCACTGGAATGAGAGTCCTCTGACTGCTAACAGCCTGGAGAAGTTCCCACACCAGATCTGCTGCTGGTCATCCCTTTCCCATGTTTATATAAGTGACAACTCCCTTGATGATTTTCCTAAAGGAATATGCACTATAAAAAATCTGGAGGAATTGGCCCTGGATGACAATCAGATACAGGAGTTATTTGTTCCTTTGTTTTAATTTATATGTTATTGATACCTTCCTTTTGCAAAATCTAAGTTCTTCATTGCAGCTGAGTGCCATCTTTCCTTACTACAGTGAGAAGGCATGTACCACCTAGTAAGCACCTGAGCCTAGGTTACTCATCACTGTATTCAGGCAGGGAGAAGAAAGCAAGAATGTTGAAACACTGACCTTTGGGTTGAATTATAAAGATGAAATCCCAATTGGCAAGACTGCTTCAGTCGTTTTAAGTCTTTTATCCTGTGTACCCTAGAAAATAAGAGCTGCAGTTGCTTAGACTCAGTAATATGAGGCAGTGAGACACTAGCACAGGTTGTCCAGAGAAGCTGTGGCTGCCCCATCCCTGGCAGTGTTCAAGGCCCGGGTGTACAGGGCTTTGAGCAACCTGCTCTAGTGGAAGGTGTCCCTGCCTGTGGCAGGGGGTTGGAAGTAGATGATCTTTAAGGTCCCTTCCAACCCAAACCATGATTCTGCCACAAACTGAAACAGAGTAGAAGGCAATTTAAAAATGGATGTAGTGTTATTAATGACTTTAACACCGCTAACTTGTGGTTCATTTGATAAAGAACAATTACATACCCTGAATCTGTGCTATTACAAGTGTGACAGTATTCATGGACATACTGATTTTAGGGCTCAGAATATACCTTCCTTTTTATATAATGCAGTGCTTCTTTTCCAAGGAGATTTTCACTTCTGCAATTTTCTTCTTGAAGGTTACATTTACAGAAGTAGTAATTTATGCAAAAGAATCCCTTTCAGATTTCATTCATTAAAATTACTCTCTCCTGCACTGTGCATACAAAGGAAATGAAGAACAGAGTAATGTTTCTGCTAAGAAACAAACTTAACACCCCAAGAAATATTTCCAGCAGAGGAAACAATAGGGATTTTTTTTTTTGGGGGGGGTGTCAAAATTTCCACCATACTGTGAGGTATAATGTTTTATTAATGTTCATCCATCAACAGTAATGCAGCACCACAGCATTTTCTTGGAGATTTTTCCTTAAAAACAAAATCCCAAAGATTACTATTTAATTGACGTAATGTATCTTTTTAATGACTGTGTCTTGGTGCCTGTGGAGCTGAAAGAACTGACAAATCTGAAATGCCTTAGCCTGTTTGGAAACCAACTCAGTATCTTTCCAAAGGAAATCTTTCTCCTGGGTTCATTAGAGAGATTATACCTGGGACAAGATAAAGGAATTAAATTCCCAAGGCTGCCAGAAGACATCAGCAAATAGCAGATAGGAGCAACAGATGGGGGAAGATTGTAGTCTGCTGTGGCATGGCACTTTGGCTGCTCCCAAATGCAGGACTGAAGGCTCTTCTAATCTCTTTAGGTACATGGTGCAGCATCAGGCCAGGGCTGTCAGAATAGGAATAATATAAAAATTAAGAGTTTGAAATTCATGTTGTGTTTAGTAGTCACCCCAATAGTATCTCACTTTATAAACCTTACTTGTGCACTTACTGACCTTCCTCAACGTCATAGCCTAGGGAAAAAGATGTTTCCCAGAGCTCAGCTTGAAGGAGACCTTGTGATGTGAGAAGACCCACTGGGTCAGCACCAGTGACTGCAGGGAGGTGATAAGGAACCGTTTCTCTGGGGGTGCTTCCCACTCCAGTCTTTCCATCTTCCCTAGTTCTCATTGCATCTGTGTGTGGTAAAGTTCACTAGCTCTGTTGGGGGCCAATTAGGAGGACTTCTGATAGCTGAATTTGGGCACCTGGCTACCTGGTGAATTGTCTTCATCTAATGAAGTAAACGTTTTGCTAGGAGAGCCCAAGTCCCATCCTTCCGTACTTGGAACCTGATACTTTGAATTTGAAAAGCTCCGGTGAGATGTTCAATACACACATTTATTACACACACAGATGGAACCACTTGTGCCTCATCCTTGTGCTGTTTATGGGC